GCTATTCTTCGTCTGTCACTTTTCTTACATTTTGTTAAATATTAATTTGGAATACCAACTAAATAATTTTATACCATTTGTTGTAAGATGCATTTCCTATCTTTTCGTAATATTCCTACAATAACTGATCTTTGTCTCTTTGCATCAATTCCTTACTTTCATCAATACCTTCTACTCTTAACCTTGAAAATTGCTCCAATGAATAACCTTCATTCCAAAAATTGTCCCTTACCGAATCAGATTTCTCAGTCTCGTAGTTCTTATGCAATTCCCACTAAATGTGCTTTAATAACTTATTTCCCTCCTCTCCTCATACTTTTCTCGTGTTTACATGCTATTTTGTCCTTCTCTATTCTCATTTTGCCTATTTGTCTCCCATCTTACTGTGTAATCGGGTGTGCAATATGCAGTTCCTAGAATTTATCTATAAAATCTTTCATAAATTGCTTCCACTTTACTTCTCTTCTTCCATCTCCAAATTTCTGATTCCCACTTCAAAATAGAACCAACAATACCACCATACATCCTCATCCCCTGTGGTCAGAAATACCTGCACTCATTCTTGATTAAATCCCACACTTGTTTCATAGCCACCATCTCCTTCTGGAACATTTATTTTATTCATTGTTTAAAATTGTTAATCCTGTATGATTATGCGGTTTCGTGTGTTCACAATTTTAAAAGTCTGAGAAAAGATATACCGAGCAAAATATTTTTGACAATGTGTGATTTTGGCAACGTTTTGTATTCGATAATAGTAAACTTTTGTAATTTACGTAATAAACCTCCGTTTTCCATACATTGTAAGGTGATTTTTAAAAAGTAGTTTAAAAAGAAGCGTCATACCTGCGCCCTCTGGATCCGGAAATACAATTGTTAATGTTTAGCACAAAAGTATCTATGACTGAAATAGTTTCTGTGTGTCATTAGACAGTTATTTTCAATATGAGACCATTTCTAAGTCCATATGTCCGGTCGCTTGATCTCACGAAATGGGCATCTTTAGCCAAATTGCTTAAGCCACGGAAGTGACGCAATTTGAGACGTCACGGATTTCCGGATGGGTAACCATCTCGGAAACCCGGCTACAAAAGAGGCCCAGCCCCTGTCCGAAGGGATAAAAATCTCCCACTGACTCCATCAAATAACGGAGGATTACTCTAATGAATGACGCTTAATGCCCAAAAAGTGCTAAAGAGATGTGTTGTTTAAAAGACGCAATGAATTTTAAAATGTGTTCTGAAAAATCGTGCTTCCTTTTCGTATAAAAAGTGCGTTTACAAAACTTCAAATACATAATTACAGTTCAGAACATTAAAAAAAAAACTACAAAAAAAAAAGGACTCTTAACTAATGAGACCCCAGACCTACATACTAAGTAAGTCTTCTTAAACGGTAGGAGAAAGTACTATCATGCGATATTTGCGTTTGATGTCCTGACAAAACATCCGCCCCCGGGTGGGCTCGAACCACCAACCTTTCGGTTAACAGCCGAACGCGCTAGCCGATTGCGCCACGGAGGCAGGCGGCATTCGTAGTTTAGCAATGGCGGCCACGACGTCTAGCTACTTAGGATATCCTGTAGACAAAGTCTAGATTTTCTTCAACTTTTACTCAATATATTAAAATTGTTTACCAAGTATTGATCTTATCACATTCAAATCTACTAGTATTACATTTATGAATATACTCGTACATTTTTTATTTCAAGCTAACAATTAAAAAAAAATATTTACGGGAGACCGAACAGAAGTTTTCTCCCCTCGTCCTGTAATACTTTCTAAATTTCCTCCTCACTGCTTTGCTTGCACCGTTCAAGAATTCTGCAGTGTATTGCCTTTATCTCAGCTCACCCCTATTTAATAGTTGCCATCTCTGGTCACAGATTCATAAGAATAATACTTCTATTCTCTTGACTCGATGAAAATTACCCATGTATATTTATTCTCAAAATTACCCTTATATTTTTTTAAAAAAATAAAATAAATTTCAGTGTTATTTTCAGAAAGTGTTACCATTTTGTACGTAAATGTTTGATGACAACATTTTGAATAGGCAATAATTTATAAAATGGCTTGTAGATTTCACTTATCGATTCCATCATCATTTTGGGGGGGGGGGGCGTCATAGATTTTTGTTAATTAATAAACATATTTGTGATTGTATTTTTTGTAGTGTATATAATACTATACATTATTATATTTTAAACAAATATATTTTTATTTTTCCTTCACTTTTCTTCCCATTTTAATTTTTTTCTCTAAACATTTTTGGGTGGGAGGCCATTGCTCCCATGGCCTCGCCCCTCTGAATCCGCCATTGCTTAGGGGACTTCCAAAGAAAAAATAATTTGTTTCAGTCAAACGCCGCCGGCAGCGCTAGTGCTGCTGTTGCTGCTGCAGCGATGTGCCCTCCAGATTAGGCGAGATTCATCTGTACACACTGTGCGCCTCATCGAAAAAATTGTGAGTAATTAGTCCTTCACATCCGAATTTGCATCTGTGAGATGGATAGATAAATGGCAGAATACAATCCCAGGAACTTGCCTCGAAAATAGCGAACTCAAAATGTCGGGTTCCTCACAGAACCATTCCACTGAAAATCTCGTACGTGTTGCAAAACACATTTACCCCATTAACATATAATAAATGTAGGTAATACGTTAAAAGTAAAAAAACAACAGCGTAGTACAGTAATAGAACAGATTACAGTATTTTACTCTCTAATTTTTCATTATTACTCTCTAAATTTTTATTTTTAGTTCTTAAGCACGTACACAAACATTGTACATGTAATTCATATATACCGTATATATGTTGCAACGTTTCCATCCATTTTTCGAGCGACGCACATTTGCTTAGGCATCCGTTTAATATGAGGAGGTAATCATGCCGTGTGAGTGAAGTATTTACTTAATACTCAATTGAAATTCTTTGAATTTTGTAAGTGTTGTTTATCTTTTTTTTTTTTTCTAAAAAATTGTCAACAAAAATGGTGGAGGCTACTATGGGAGTATCTTTAAATGAAGCGAAATATTATTTCAAAATTTGTTTTTAAATGAAGCGAAGTATTTTTTTCAAACATTGTTACCTAATACCATATAGATATTTTTATTTTCAATATCCCAATCACGATTTTCATAATACCTGATAATAATAAAAAAAAGGAATGTAGCAATTTCAAACAACATTTGTGCAAACTAAAAACACACGAAGAATACGACGGCATTTCCCGAAATGTTCATTAAGGGGGGAAAAGCGACGGGGATATCGAAAAAATACGGTTTCACTAGGTCCTTCATTTTGGATGTTTCTCTTCATTAGAGCTTTAGCACGGCATAGCTTACCACAAACGACTACCATCTTTTACGCATGCGCAGATGCACAAGAGCGATGCGCAACTTGAAGTGCGCATGCGCAGAAGATGGATAGTGCTGTCAATTACTGTAACATTCATCCGTGAAAAAACTTCCTATTTGTGAAAAAAAAACCTCCCAGTGTGAGCTGCGGTAGGGGCTTCTGGGGTGCGCCCTACGACAAAAGGACATGGGTGACCCGCTACTCGGTCCATCGGGCTTCAGCCAATGAGCTTCCTGCACGAGTTTGCGTCGCAATATTAGCAGGAATTTTAAATGCAGCCCAAAAAAAAATTATCATTTTGCTACAAGTCATTGAGATATACGATGCATTTTAAAAAAATTGCATCTTTTATTTTAATTATACCTTCATAATATTTTTAATTGGTCACCGTTGAAAATTGTCGCCTTATGCCACTCAACACTTCTCGCTTGCCATGCTGCATGGCGAACAGCGTCTGGCCTGACTTTTCAAACGCTGTGCCCGTGTTGTGGTCACGTAGTTCGTGACGTATCTCGTGCAGCACAGAACGAGGAAAAAACAATGCGTCCAAGCAGCTCACCCATGTATTTGCATCACGGGTGCGTTTATTGAGCGCCCCGCGGCAGTGGGCGCGATGTTTAAAACCATCTATGATTTTTGTGCGATGTATTTTGAACATGGATGTGAATTATAACTTCTAGGCAGTCCGACTGACGCCGCGTTGTTGGCAGATAGGCCGACGTTTCGCCTGTCATGTCGCAGGCTTCTTCAGGGGGTGACACAGTAAAGCTCCGCCTCCGGTGTTATAACTTTTTCAGCCTAGGGGGTCGGGGGACGCGGCGTCACCCGGACAGCCTAGAAGTCATGAACTCGAGCCGCGGAAGCCTACGTGTACATGGATGTCAATGTTTGGTTGTCGTTGTGGTGGTGAGAGTGGCGCGCGCGCGCTGCGCAGGCGGTGGCGCTGACGGCCGGGCTGTGCTACGTGGGCGTGCCGGCGTTGTTGTGGTCCCATAGTTCGTGACGTATCTGGTGCTGCACAGATAGAGCAAAAACCAGTGCGTCGAAGCAGCTCACCCATGTTTTAGCATCACGGGTGCGCTTATTGAGCGGTGGACGCGATGTTTAAAACCATCTATGATATTTGTGCGATGCATTTTGAACATGGATGTGAATGTTTGGTTAGTGACGTGGCATGTGTGGCGCGCGCTGCGCAGGCTGTGGCGCTGACGGCCGGGCTGTGCTACGTGGTCGTGCCGGCGCTGTTGTGATCACGTAGTTTGTGACGTAGCTAGTGCAGCACAGAACGAGGAAAATCAATGCGTCCAAGCAGCTCACCCATGTGTTTGCATCACGGGTGCGCTTATTGAGCGGTTGGCGCGATGTTTAAAACCATCTATGATTTTTGTGCGATGCATTTTGAACATGGATGTGAATGATGTCGTAGGCTTCCGCGGCCAGAGTCATGATCTGGGCTGTCCGGGTGACGCCGCGTCGATGGCTGATGTGCCGACGTTTCGACCGACATGTCGCGGTCCTCTTCAGGGGCTGTACTGCGCAAGGATGTAGGGCACTCTTGTTTATATTGAGGCAATTCAGGTGATAGGTCAATCCAGGTGATAGGTCGAGGTGACAGCCAATCGGGTGGAACGTGAAATGTGAATGTTTGTTTGGCAAGCGGTGGCGCTGACGGCCGGGCTGTGCTACGTGGGCGCGGCGGCGCTGACGCAGTCGGGCGTGCAGGCGGTGCAGGGCGCGCTCTTCATCCTCGTCACCGAGAACACCTTCTCGCCCATGTACGGCGTGCTGGCGCATTGGCCTGCCGAGCGCCCGCTGCTCGCTCGCGAGCTGCGCGCGGGCCTCTACCGCCCGCACCTCTACTACATCGCCAAGCAGGCCGCCATGGTACTTTTCTCGCATTCCCCCTCCTCAGTAACCCCCCTGTGAACGCGGGAAGTTTCTTTATTATGCCCAACGCATTCCCTTTTGGCTTAAGCAGCTAGAGAAGGGAATTTGTCTTACTAACTAAAGTTAACTATTTATCTATTTATTTATCTATTTAGTTATCTAATTGTTTATCTATTTATTTATCTATTTATCTATCTATTTATCTATCTATTAATCTATTTATTTATCTATTTAGTTATGTATTTATTTATTTATTTATTTACGGACTGTCATTCAATAAACAAATACAGAGTAATACAGAAATAAAATTAAGAAAAAAATGACTCTTCAATATCACGATAACAAAACAAATATTATACAAATTTCACTCTTGTCTTAACAAATAACACCTTACAATACAAATCATACAACTTAATGCAATTAAACAGCTTTGACATGCCTAACTAAAATAACATCTTTTTTTATCATGCCGTGCGCGAAACGCAGTTTTTTGTGCTAGTTTTCCATGTGTGAAACAGCTATTTTTTCCACGGTTTGCGAAATATCGCTCGCGGCACTGTTAAAATTAGTAAACTCAACACGGGCGCGAGGCGATTCCCACACTCGTCTCTTCGTAGCTCGGACGTCAAACCTTACTCACGCGAGAATCACCAGTTTCGCAGCCTTATTACTTCACCTCCTGAAGGGGGAGTTTACTTTTTATACCCAACTGTACTCAATTGATCCACTACATTGCGGCTTAAGCAAGTAGAAAGGAACTTTGTCTTATTAACTATAATTAAGTTAATATAATTACACAGTTAAAAATGAATGCACTTTGGCATTCCAAACTTTCGGGTAAATAAGAAATTTTTATCTTAATATTGGGAAATGGTTTGTTTTGAAGGGGTCAATGTCACCATCGTAGTACGCACCGGACACGTGTTCCGGATAAAAGTTAGCTGAAAGGCCCTTTAACACAGTTTAATTTTCGTGCAAATTGGACATGCAGAAAGCGTGAAGCTCGGACAGCACGATAACTTTTGAGCACTGCAGGTTCGTCACACCGCACACAGCAAGCGACCCACCTACACTACTCGGGTTTCGGCGAGCAGTCGCTCGTACTCGCCGAATACCTATTGTGTGAAAGGGCCAAAGTGGCAACTTCTGCCCGGTTACTTCTAGCAACCAACCGAGGGTATTGAGGTCCTCCTTCCTTCATTCGTTTGATTGCAGTTGGCTCACTTTTTTATGACTTGGACACACCCTCTGCGACCTAATCGCCGGATGAAAAATAGCGCTCTACGAGAAATAATTTAAAATAAGACGTTCCATGCTTTTGTACGTCTTTAATCCTGTTTTTTAAGAACAGTATGTTTCCCATCGTGTGTCTGATAGTGTTTACTGTATTTTAAAAATGAGTTTTCAATGTGCGGTACCACGAAAATGACCATCAATCCCGTCTTTGTGTGAGCAAACGAACTTAAAACTTCATACAACAGCGCGAATGAACAGCTATCGCGGCGGAGGGATACGTCTGCTAAGCAAACACGATGTTCGTTTGTTTTCCGAACTGTCACTTTGCTCCGATCTGAGCGTGACTCGAGACTACATCGCGGGCCGCTCACCCGCGCCCACGTGGCGTGCGCTGGACGAGAGCGTATCTGCGAGCAACCGGTGTGAGCCGATTCATGTCGAGTCAGCCCGCCCGTGAGCTCGGGCGGAGGAGAGCGCGCGGCTGGAGGCTTATGAAAGGAGGGGGGCACGTGGGCATCTGGAGGGGGCCGCTGTGGGTAGCTTAACTGGAATTTTTGCCTTTAAGCAGCCCCGGGTAACGTGACAGCTCTACACGTGTGGAGAAAGATGGGACCAGTTTGGCAGCTCTTGGGAAGCAAATGAAGATCAGGGCCGGCAATGGCGATGCAAGAAATGGTGTCGAATACATTTGCATGTGCGACAACTGCTGACGAACAATCTGTCGAATAGACCGCATGGGAATAAGTGTGTTGCCAGCAGAAGCTAACCAGAAGTTGTCAAAGCCGCCCCTTCTTAGAAAAATCTCTCGGTACCGTATTGTAATTCGAGAACGTTTTTTTGAGCTCAGGTACCCTTGCAACCACCCTATTAACATTAATTAAATTATGAATAGGAGATAGCAGTGAGCTTTGATTACAATTAAAAACAATAAATTTTCGCTCCCATTTTCCCACACAAGCCACAGATGATATAATAGTCCTATCGTCGAAATAACCAACCCTCCTGTTCCTCTCTTATCTAATGAAATGAGAGCTCAAGAAAACTTGTGTCAATGATAGGCCCACCCACGCTGCAAAAGTCTTAGGCCGGCTTCCCACGGCGCGACCGCGGCGCGCTTCGTTCAAGGAGCAGAGCACTTCCGACGCAGCCACCGGCGGAGCCACGGCCGCACCGCCGCCCGCCGTGGAAGGGGGTGGGGGTCTGGAGGGGTAGGTTTCGCCGAACCTCCGGCGACGACGAACAAAGGGACCGGAGCAGGTAGAACTCTGCGGCCGCGGCGCAGTGGGAATGCTCCCATTTAAAGCTGTGTTCTGCTAGCCGTGGCGCTGCCCCCTCCTCCGCTTCGCGTAGCTGGAGTTCGGCGTCGGCTGCCGCAGCAACCGCCACCCGCTGCACGTGGGAAGGCCGCCACAGAGAGTATATTCAATTGAATGGGCCGCCATTCAAACCACTGCTCTACGCGCCGCGCTGCTGCGAAACGCGCCGCGGCCGCGCCGTGGGGCTACCATTTAGTGTTCCTTCTCACGTAGCTCATAGCAGAGCATTGGTTTCAATGGAGGCCTTCCCACGTGCAGCGGGCGTGCGCTGCTAAGCCAAGCGTCGCCGGACTCTCGCCACGGGAAGCGGAGGAGGGCGTACGCACCACCATTGGCAGAACACAGCTTTAAATGGGAGCCTTCTCACTGTGCCGCCGGTCGCTGCGTTTTACCTGCTGCGGTCCCTTTGTTCGTCGTCGAGGGAGGGTCGGCGAAACCTACCCCTCCAGACCTCACCCCCTTCAACGGCGGGCGGCGGTGCAGCCGTGGCTGCGGAGGTGGCGGCGTCGGAAGGGCTCTGCTGCTTGAAGGAAGCGCGGAGCCGTGGCGACGTGGGAAGGGCTTAAACTGGTCGCAGGATGCAGTAGGGTGATTCGCAGTAACACCGCGCAGACAAAAGGACCCTCGCCCAAACGATGGAGGGGGGAGGGCGGGCGGGTTGTTCAGCAAGATAGTCGCTCAGCTAAAGAGCCACGATAAAACCGGACGGCCGATACTGGACGTCTGCTTGTTTGTGATATACACATTCTAATTGTGATTAAGTATTACGTAAACGGACGAGGAAATGTCACGTTTCCTACACGTCGAAGGGCCCCCTCAACTCTTTAGTAGCTCTTGTAATGAGCTTTTCTTTGTGTCTGTACTCTGTAATTGACTGAAGATTGAAGAGGCTTTAGGAAATAATTTAAACAACTTATTCTTTAAAAGATATTATTTGTGAAAATGTAATCGTCTTATTATACATCAGTAACTCTGAACAGTCACCCCTGGCAATATAATTTCTTGTAATGGAGGGGAATTGCTTTTTTCTAGGCAGCCTAAAGAGATTTGCGCTTTCAGCACCTATTCTCTGTCGTAGCATTGCCATGGCATTTACCGTTTTCAGTTTTAACACTTTTGTTTAAAATACAATATTAGAAACCCAAAGATTATTTTTACGTGATCCCAGTAGCTTTGTTTATAATGTATGACATATGACGAAGGAAAATATTATACGTTTTTATTTTTATAACTTGTCGAACCTCTTCTTAAAATCCGAAAAAAATAATTAACAATACCAACAATACGCAAAACCGAAAGACCTACTTGTAATATGTTTTCATGGATCCAACAGCCGTAGAAATTACTTCCATTTTTTTTCTTTCAAAAATATTGGTTTTCATTTCTGTATATTTAGTGCAAGTAAATAATTGTTTAAAATCCAAATCGGAAATTTAACTTTTTCACAGTTTTACTTCGAGGACATTTATTTGTTAAGGAGGAATAATTTGTATCTGAAAAAAATGTATATCTAACCGCACATGAAAACTTTTTAAAAAATCAGGTTTTTCGTTGTTGGGAAGGGGTGAGTGGGTTTAGGAAGTTATTAACCAACTGAATTCTTTTTATTTTATTTTAGAAGTATTGTTCGATACGTTTTACTTTATTTCCATAGGAGGCTTGTATCATCCTACCGTGTTCAATAATTTTCTACGTATCTTTGATGCAGCAGCACCCGCAGTTTTATTTCTTATTTGTTGTCGCATGCATGCGAATGCTGAACTCTGCTCTTGAAAGTCACGACCATTGTGCAACTCTTCAAGTGCGAATTGCTCGAGCAGAAGAATGGAGTTTTTCCACATCGATGTCGCTTACGCGACAGTACAGAAGAATTTATCAGTGTATACTACTAATATATTCTCCTTCAAGGCTAACCACGTACAGGCCTGATCTTAGCCAAATCATAAGACACAATCCATTGAACTCAGTTCTCTTAATTCCACTATTTGTAAATATCACTGCCTTGTTTTACAATCTATCAGTGACCTGCATAACCATTCAATTTAGTAATTATATATTGTATTTCTCTTCTTGTTTATGGTGTTTTTCAAGGCAATTCATTTACATATGTGCAAAAGAAAGGTCGAACCTCGGCTGAAGTCCACTCCCGAGAACCGCCACACAGTTCGTGTTCCATGATACATGTTGTGCCATCTAGCGGCACAAGACAGTACTAAGTGTAGCTTGTGTCTACGTCTCACTCTTGGAGCCAACATTTGAAGTCTTCATGCAAGTATTCTTTTTTGCACCAAAGCCCCTAATCGATTTTTTGCTCATTTATTGTACTACATTATATACCTTCATATTATTCAAAACATTCCTTTATGTCACATTTTCGTTTAATATAACATTTTCCAGCGATAACATCGTAGGTATATGTACAGGAGTGCCTGAGAGTCAAGACCAGGGGACGACCCTGTGTTGGCATCCCGTAATACTTTTCAAAAATTTAACGGAAGTTATTTAAAAACTGAAAATTGTCCCAATTTTATGTACGTAAAATATCATTTGCACATAAAAACTTTCGAAGTACATTAATATATGAATATGTAAACAACTAACTGAACAAAATCGTAATAAAAATATATGTCATGAATCCCTGTTGTTATATCATTGTCATGAAATATTTACCAAGTGAATAACAGCAGTAGCAGTACTTGAAACCTTATTGTAATTAAGTATACAAACCTTTTAGATGCTCTGAGAAATTTGCAAAATGTTTAATGAAATAATATTTATTTGAATTTTTTTCTGAAGATTAAGAAAACTACTGATTTCAAAAGAAGTCGATTTAATATGATTATTATAAAACATTATGAAATATGCTTATAAACTTTAATTATCTATTTTCATTCGAAATAATGTACAAAGTGCAGAGTGTAGAGTGAAAATTATTGTATGAAATTGCTTTAGTCGTGTTTTGGATATGCCGTCCAAGAGGTAGGCAGCTTTTGCTGTTTCGTGCCACTGGTTTATAGATAAAACGAAGTTTTTGAAAAACTATCGTATATTCGTGAACATAACTCCCCTCTTTTTTTTCAAGGATTGGCAACCATAAAAATAGAGGAGACTAACTCACAAATATCACGAAAAGAAGCGAAGTAATTTGTCAAAAATTGTCTTTCAAAGAATGTCGATAGGAATTGAGATTTTTGATATCCCACCTGCACTTTTCTCGAGTGCTGCTAACAATGGTATTACAGAGAATTAGCGATTTTTATACATTAATGCATCGAATACCACACCTATTCTATACTCAAGTTTTCCGAAATTTTTCATCCCCAAAACTGAGGGAGCTGATAAGCGATGGGGTCTTATATTCCTCAAAATTCTGCAACCGAAACGTGTGGTGGTATTTCCATTTATTTCCCCTCCACAGTAACTCTGTGATGGCGGGAATTTATTTGCGTATCGTGTACAATTGAGTTACTTCCTTGCGGCTTATGCAGCTAGAGTGAGGCTTTATCTAAGTAACTAAAATTTAACTTAATTTAATGACGCAGTGAAAAATACCTGCACTTTGGCATGCCTAACTTGAGTGTAATAAGATTTTTTTGTAAGTTTAATCTTAAATATTGTAATAAGTTTATGGTGAGTCTTTAAGTGTTGTAAAATATTGTGAGATGAGATTACTTCCAAGCAAGTCAGTCTGATGTTGACGTGTGGCGATCTGCGCAGCTGCCCGGGCTGGTGGTGGAGCCGGTGCTGTTCGTGCTCATCATGTACTGGCTGGTGGGGCTGCGGCCGACGTTCTACGCTTTCGCCATGTCGCTGCTCGTCGTCACCATCACCATGAACGTCGCCACGGCCTGTGGTACGTTAGCCTCGCGCGAATGAATTCTCTGGACGCCGGTGATTTCCAATCGAAACACAGCAACCACTGTGGCTAGTTGGGAGCTGACTGTCAGTCCCGGCCAGACCTTGTTCCACCTGGTCTGTGCCTCGCTGACGGGGGCGGAGATTTATGCAGAGGGACCCCCCCCCCCGCACGTCCACGTGTTACTTTTTTTTCGAAATATAAAACAATTATCTACACTCGTACGTTATGAAAATGTAGTAGGTTGCAATAATTAGTAGGTATGCAAAGTGATGAGCATAACATATAGGAGCCTGTGCATTATAGTGACAACCTAAATTTTTGTAATTTTCGTAAGGAAGAGAAAAATAACATTTTGTGCAAGTCTAGATATTTGAATATACCCTTACTGCTGCATTCTACATTTTGAAGTTTTTGTGTACAGTAAACAGGTTTGTATAATTACTTCGCAACATACTTTGCCTGTCTTTTGGGGACATTCTAAGATATGAATTTTGGATGCATGAAATGAAGGTTATCATTAAGATGCGTGGGCCCTTTGAGTATTGTAACCGTGTCGTGCGCTTCAAACTGAAGCACGCTGTTCTCCGATGCTAAATGCAAAGGTATAAATGATGGTGTTGTTTCGCAGGCAGCTTCTTCGGCAACGCCTTCGAGTCGGTGTCGGTGGCGATGGCGTACCTCGTGCCCTTCGATTATGCGCTCATGATCACCTCCGGCCTCTTCATCAAACTCAGGTACGCATCACACACTTGATCACAACTCGACACTACTCCGAAGTTTTCCCCAATATCTCACATACGTTGTTACGGCTGGGCAGTTGCAGCTACTATTGTCAAAGTAAATTGACCGCCCAATATCAAACCAGAGACACGTACTTAAATAATCACTACCGTTAAAAAGGTTGTGAAAAATCTCCCAGACCCGTCAACGTCTCTGAGTTATTAGTGCACCTGATTAATTGCACACCAATTAATAAGTATGTAATAAAATTTGTATTCTCAAAATAGACAGGTCATTAAAATTTGTTTACCTCTGTACGTTTTCGTCACTGGAATGCCTGTTATCGGCAAGGACGTCACCGTCCTGCAGGTTGATCTGGTGACGTGAGGCAAGTGCGGAACTAATAAAAAAATCGATATATACCTCTATTTAAAATACTATTCTTTAGATACGTGAGACAAAAAGTCACATGAATCTCAGAAAGTTCTTGACATCCTGGGTGTCGCAACGTGACGGAAGTCATTTCGGGAGCACTGCGTTTCATGTAGTTTTCATGTCTCTTTAACGTAGTGCACAGCCCCAAAACACTTTCTCACTGCGTCAAGAAGATGACAGGTAGCTAGCCATTTTAAGACAAAAACTATTTCCAGCATCTTTTTTGTAGCGAGATAGTATTGTCCAAGAAGGAAATTCTCTTATTTTTGTTTTATACAGTGAAGTGATGAATGAAAATTTCTTTCTACTTTCAATGTGTTTTTTGTAGTCTAATATTTTCAAAAAGTTTATAAAACAAATTCAAATTTCTGTTGAAATAGACATTAAAATTCTGTGAAAAAAATGAAGAAATTGTTTTATTATTGATTCAAAATTTCTTAACTTTGCTAGAATCTCAGTGGATGGCCAGATGTGAAATTCTGTACGCCCTAATAACCATTTGAAACCATCACTGTCGTACAGAATAAAGCGACTTTGCCGAATGTTTTGATTCTTTGATTGTACACCAACTTAAGCAATAATTTATGTTACCTACTCATAATTGACACACTATAAATACTCGTAAAATTAAACTCCTAACTGTATTCGCTTAGCGAATGCATCAATTGCAACATTCACTCAATTCAATCTCGATTTGATTTTTGTCTAGTTTCCTTTAATGTAAACAGCATTGCTGTCCCTTCTCGTGTTTCTACCCGTTTAAATCTAGATTTCATCCCCCCCGCCCCCATAAACATTAGGCTCAGGCTAGTACTATTTTTGACATAAATTCATTTTAAAAATTCAATTCAAACAAAAATAAATCTATACAATTTTTCATCTAGCTACTTGGTAATATCGAAACCTTTTGCAGCCAGTCATGCAATCGATCTTGGTTGTTCAGGAGACGTTTCATCGTAGACTATGGTGCCGGGAAAAAAGAAAAGGAAAAAAGACAAAACTAGGCGAAAATCGCTATCTCTACCTTCGACGCGTCGTCACTCGGATAGCCAAGTTCATTCATGTCTACTTGATGGTTGCTTCTCCATCTGGAGTTCAATTTTTGACTTAAGATTTTTTCATTCATAAAATGTCATTTTAACTCGTATGGCTTCCTTCTGCTTGCAGCTCTCTCCCGCCGTTGGTCGGATGGGTGCGGCACGCGTCGTGGTTCATGTACGCCAACGAGGCCCTGAGCATTCTGCAGTGGGACGGCGTGTCCAACATCAGTACGTATATAAGCACTACTCAAATTTGGGGATGTGCCAACAACCCAGACTCCCGATCCCCATCCCGTACGGGGCAGAGGAGTCAAAAAACCGTAAACAACAACCCACTGGAAGCCCACTGTTCGAAGAGACCCCACAAGGGGTCAGGCGAACACGATTTGTACACCAAAATGAGACGTTGGGGGATGTGATGGTCAATCATTCAAACGCATAACATCTGCTCATGTTGACCATCCAGGTGATAATATCATAGTTCAATATCAATATGTAAGAGGTGTAAAGTAAATTAATAACAATTAACATGAAAATCACCTTTTGTTTCATCGTGCGTTCTCGCAGTGAGTCTGCAGAACTTAATTGAATGATGAACACACAGATTATCTTGTCTACCATGGTAAAAGCATTTGAAAAACAAAATAGGATAATTTTTGAAAAGGAACATATAATATTTTTCCGTTTACTAATTGTACTTGTCAAGGTATCTGACCCTTTAAAGTGAGATATTTTGTTTGATATTACACATTTCCCTTCTTTTTCACCTTTCTCAATTACTGTCTTAAATTTTTATTTTCACAAACCATTTGGTGTTGCTTACCATGTTGATTCTGATCGGGGAAACCTAGTAAATACATTTATTTTAGGAGTGATTCGGTGAGTAAGTTTGACGTACGAGTACGAATATATGTTTGGATGAAATGAAATTGCCCAGATTAAAAGCAACTCAAAAAACTTTATTCTTAACTCCTTGACTCATTCAGAATCTTCATATTAGCTCCTTTTATTACGATTGGCAAATTATGTTGCTTGCCGCCGGAATCTTGTGATAGGAATTCACCTCGCAAATAAATATTTTTGGTCATCCTGTAAACACATAAATTTATATGTCAAATGGTTACTTTATTTCAACAATTCACTACTAACCAAAAATGTAAAAATTAACTTTTGGAACAGACAAATGTCTACCCAACCAAAATGTTATATCTACATTCAAAGTATTAGAACTTGTTTGAATTGTGGAAAGCGTGAAAGTTTAGGAATTTGTCATTTGATGTACGTGTCTTGCTGCATCTATGTTATCGGTACTGCCATGATGTTTTCTGCTCATAGGTGTTTCACAATCCTGTATATTCTGTATTTTACCACACTCAGAAAATAGTTGCCATCCTTTATTTGTCACACAGGCAAAAATCCATGGGAAAGAAACATTACGAAGGAGCTCACATACTGGTGGGTAGATGTAGGTTCCTCCACAAGCCTGCAGTTACATATCCAACTAAGAAGACCAATAAACACATAGCTTTCCCTAACTGCTCCAACAGGCATCGCCATTGTGTCTCCACGGCTAGCGTAGTTCTTTCAGTTTATTGTCAGAGTACCTAAGTGAATTCATGAGCGGCTACTTCATTACGTTTTCCATCTACCCTAATAACCTTATTAAATCCATTACAACTAGTGGTATCACAACAGCTTATACTATTTCATATTATTACGGAGTTATAATCGATTATCTCGTAGTCATGGTGGTGCAATATAATATCGCAATTTCTGTTCTACACTTCAGCTATCGCTTATTTTTAAAAAATAACTATAACGCTAAGCGTGGTGCGTTTTCCAGCTTGCAACACGGCGCGGCCGGACCTGCCCTGTCTGTCAGAGGGCACGCAGGTGTTGGACCAGTACAGCTTCCTGCCGCAGCATCTCGCCACGGATCTCTGGGCCATGGGCACGCTCTACTGCACCTTCCACTTACTCGCGTACATCTGTCTACGTTGGCGCGCGTCAATCTCCTGAACCCTGCGAAACCCCGCGTTCTAAGTGTAAACCAACTTTTGTATGCAAATAAAATTGCATTTTAATATCTCTGTATTCAATTTGTGACATCTATAGTTACTACTCCAAATTTTCAAAGAATTTAATTTGTTCTAACAATTAACATGACGAACGACAAATATTTGTCGTCCAAACTATACTCTACACACCGCAGTGGTTGATTAAAAAATTATTGTATTGTGAGAAGGGACAATTTTGTTCAGCATTTAAACAATTTTACCTGATAGAAATAAGAAATTTATTTTCAAATTGTAATTATTTCTTTGGAATATGATTCGATCAATATGCTTTGGTTAAATTGAGTAAAATTTCACAGTTATTGAATAAACATTTGATTGCGGGTGCATGGCTCCTATGCTTATCAGAGCAGTTACATTGACATGTTAGTTCCGTGCTCGCCAATGCTTATCTGTAAATAAATTAAGGTCTATCTTTCATTTCCTTTCTCCGAATTGGTGACAGCAAGGGATTATTACATACACGGAGGAGCTGCTGCTATTACTTGTCCCTATGAAGGGCCTATAGGCGTTACAAAATGACTCAAAAATCAAGATCGGTACGTCGGTACCGCCATACATGAGCCAATGTTGTTACATAAATAAAATATTTTAGAATAAAATACTAACTTTAATTTATTTAAGACCGTGCCAGGTAAATGGATAGTTACAAACTACCAGTTGCAAATTCTATCAATAGATACTTGTAAGACTCGAACTCCAGAATTGAAGGATGTATTTGTACATAACGTAATTGTTTAGTTTATGTTTATTTGTTCCTGCTATTTCATATAGCTGGAAGCCGTATCAAGGCTGTGGTGTTCGGAGAAAGCCAATTCAAATATAGAACGTTCTAAAAGTAGGTATTTTTTTAAAAAGTTGTTTTGTTAACCGTGTACTTTTGTACTTAACTTTATACTTTTATGCTTTGTCTTGTTAACTTTGTATTTCTTTCCAAAACCGCTTTAAATAATATTTATTCACTTAAGTAATTCAGAAACTAGATTTGATCTTACGGTCAAGGCGATGACAAGTTTAAGTCTCAAGTAAAATATTTTCTGCTACATAACTACTTCTATACAATTGGAGACTACACCAAGTATCAAAAAGGAAAGTAATGTTAATTTGAACATTGATATTTAATGTATTAATTACCATTTGGTCCGAATACTAGGTCTGTCCAATAAGTAATGCGACTGGCCTTCATGCGTCGCTCCAGTCGCCACCAGAGCGCTCTCAATGAGAGGTTTCTGTGGTGGTGGTGGTGGTGGTGGTGGTGGGGGGGTCGTGCCTAAGCATTGCACCGCGTTGCAGTTGCATCAGACTGGTGAGAGAGTGAAGATCGACCGTTGTTGTGTGTGTGTGTTTTCATTTTGTCATCGGATAAAAAATGGAGCGACAAATTCAGCAACGATACGCCATCACATTCTGGAGTCCTTTGGGCAAAACTGCTTCATAGACCCTTACCTTGATTCAGAAGACCTACGAAAACAATGCCATGTCGAAAGCCCAGGCTTTTCGCTGGCATAAGGACTTGAAAGACGGGCAGGAGACAATTGAAGACAAAGATCGATCTGAACACCCTTCAACACACACACGCACTTACATGCGTACAATATACCACAATTATACTTCGATTTTTTGACGTGGAGTCTCAAGATCACGCACGAAAAAGAGAGGGAAGGCAGACTCTAATAGGGAGCTGCAACCTCACTATAGCTCCCACTTTTACGACTCCCTATTGGAGTCTGCTTTCCCTCTCTCTTTTTCGTGCGTGACCTTGAGACTCCACGTTAAAAAATAGAAGTGTTCGTGCACCACATATGCCGGGAGACCATTCTGTAACTTCGAACTTGTCCCGACTGGGGCGGTGCCTCGCTGGTGAGAGATACCTGGTTGATGGAAACCCCATTAGCCGACGATTAATTAACATTAACCGGAGCCGAGGTCGGCGCTGGATCTCGCCATCCAGCGGGGAAAGATTTCTGCTGCAGCCCGTGATAAAACATGCACTACAATTATAGGAAGAGTGATCTTAGCAGTTGACGCGTCCGGAATCACTAATCAAACAACCGAACAACTTAATTCATGTCTCATCGGCGTTTCGTTTATTTTGCACCATCTAATTGCACACTAATTACTTTGGATTCTTTGCGATGCGCTTTTGGAAAAGTTTATTTTCATGTACGCCTTCCGCGGAGCACTACTTTTCAATCAATAAACAGAGAAGGCAAGTAATAGTTCAGAGGTATCCAACTAGCAAGGTCTCAGGGGCCACAATTAAAACTTTGAATTTGGTTGCGAGCCACATTTGCTTTACTCGGGAGATCACAATCCGACTTCCTTGTGTTGTTTATCTTGGCACTTAGCCTCGCTGTTCTGAAATGGGGCAAGGGAAGAATGGAACAATGCGAGATATCAGGCCGCACCATGCATAACGCAGTAAACACTTTGGGATGATTTTCAGTTGCTGAATTTACGACACAAAAATCATTAAATCTAAACTTAGCCTATTTTTACATTAAAGGGAGTGTTGACCCCGGCAGGGCGCGTGCTTTAAGCTCACAGTGTTTTCGCCCGACATGGATGCAAGGAGCTTTCACTATTGACTATTAACCTTTCACGGGCTACAATAAATGACCCCGCGGGCTGCCAGTTGGACAACCCTGAAATAGATTTTAAGCATTAGTGCTGAAAAATATACTTCATATTCTCTAATCTCTATAAAAATGCCACATTAGCTGATCTCAGAGCTTGTTTTACCAGCTTAATTATTAACCTTGTCAATAGTGGTCAAAATATGCCCATCTATACTACATCAAACACTAGCCAAAGGTCGTTTCCTAAATCTGATAACTCTTTCAGTCTTATTTGTTCAATAAACCTTGTAAAACGTAGCAAATTACGAAAATAAAATGGTGGGAAAACCTCAATATTATTTTTGAACGAGTTTTGCTGTCCAAAAAGATAATTCTTCCTGCAGATTTACAAAGGATAGAGAAAATGGTAAGATGCACGAGAAATTAAAACACTGCATATACCTTCTGTGGTAAGTACTATGGAATGATAAATTAAGCCAGAATCCTTGCAAGGACTGAAACTATTTGGCATACAGAATACGCCCAATTTAAAAATAAGAATCAGTATCAATGAAATATCAGGAAATCAGATTGAAGTGTTCATATGCCATGTGTTTAATATTCAAGTTTCCCGTAAATATAATTCTGGCTACAGCATTAAGGCAGCCATTGAGGTCGTGAACCAATCGTAAAGTGCTTATAAAAATGCTAGCTGTACCTTTCTCAAAACTCTGCACTTTGTTAATCATTGTTTTAAAAGCGAAATAGTTTCATTCTGCATTCAACTTCGAGCGGCTATCTCTTACTTAAACAGAACGTTACAGCATTGTATACTCAGTATTGTGAATGAGTAAACATCTTAATATTGTTGAGTGTTGGGATAAAATTTCACAAAACATCAAATAGTCATTTTAATTTTATCATGTAATATTATTAAATCTCTATTCCGTCAATTTACTTACCACAATTAATTTGACATACTTTCTACTCATATCTGACCTCCCATGCCAATGAAGTAGGTGTCTTAAGAAGAGCTAAATCTTCAAACATGTCATAGGCGGTCCCAAAAAGGTTTCATTTAGTAGAATACTACTAAGAAACATCACTCAGGTTCCACAAAATCCCCACCTCTTCCTTGTTTACCTCCCACCTGTGCCCTCACCAAACCTATGTCCTCACGTAACTTACCGTGGCCCCCACTGAACTCGCGTCCTACAAGGGGCACGAAAATCTGGTTTTAAGGGTTTAGGACGTTTCCGAGTTATGCGCAATTGTAATGTGTTGCAGTAATCTGCCCTGTCACAAATTTTACTTTTTTCGTCATGAATCTGTGGATAGATTCGCTATCTACGTAATAGTACTTAAAATATTCCGTGCCGATTGTTTCTAATAAATATTTTTAAAAATTTAAAAGAAAACAACGCAGTCTTAGGTCGAAGAATCGCGGGTCTGAGTCCCACCTCAGGAATGGTTGTGATTGTGTGTGTCTCTGAATATTTGTTACTGTCCATTTCATCCGTCATCATTATTATCATTTTCCTGACACCTAGGTGTAAAAATTGGTTATTACACCTAGGTGTAAAAATTGGTTTCAGCATGAAAATGCTGATTCCACCATAACATCACGAACACCTACCCTCGATAAATAGGCCTATAACCATAGCCCCGGTTCACGTGGCCCCGATATGGTCAATTCGCGACGAAAAAAAAAGCCGTCAACTATCCATGGCATATTAAGTATAGAAAGAATAAAATGCACCTTCAATGTATCAAGAGTGAACAGTTTCTGGACATACGTGTTGAGATAACTCCCCTCCACCTTCCGATAAAAGCTTCCCCTGTCAAGTATGGGCGTAAAGAGATCATGTTTACCCCTTCCAAGATAATGGGATTAGAAATAATTGAACGTATAATTCACGTATAAAACAAAATTTTGACAAAAATCGCATTAGATATATATAGTCGAAAAATCGACATACGATAAAATATACGTGGTGATGACTGATGTGTTAAAACTTCTTGTCTCCATCCCTCTCCTAGCAGAACTCTTGCTTTAGCCCCTTGTAAGGAATCTTGTCTCCTCCTACCACAACTTCTGGCTCTGCTCGGGCCAAAATGGAAACTCTACTATTGACGGAGCGCAGTTTATCTCTAAAGAAGCAATCGGCGCAGGTAGAGGTAGCCCCGTGGCCGCCATTAGTGGGACTATGCTAGCCGCCAGCCTCCGTGGCGCAATCGGCTAGCGCGTTCGGCTGTTAACCGAAAGGTTGGTGGTTCGAGCCCACCCGGGGGCGAAGGTTTTTGTCCGGAAGATTATTGAAGGATATCGTTCTGCCAACATTTCGAAGCTTGCAAGATGCATTCTTATAATAGACTGCTGAAGGGAATCCCTGTGGAAAGTTTATAAGAGCACTAGTGATACTTCAAACGTACATACTGGTTTGAATTATTGACAATGATAA